TATTTTGTAATTCAGTGATTGAAATGTCAAGTCCTAAATTCTGCTTATTTCAGTACTTAATTGTAACGGCTACATAGCCAAGAAAGGGATAATTGCAAAGATGTGAGGACTGAAATTAAAGAAATACATCATTTATTGGACTTAACTAAATCACTATTTTCATTTTTAAATATATTCCATTAATTATGCAAAACTTTTTGTTGTATTTTGGCTAATAAATTTCCATCTTCTCTCATGTCAATCAATTGTTCTTGCAAACTAATCAAAAGATGTTGCATTTCAACAAGTGGTTTTAAACCAGTGGATTTTTAACAAGTGGTTTAAAAATCTATTGAGATTCTTTTTTTTAATCACATTTATTTATTTTTACTGAAGCATAGCTATCCTTCAGAAAAGTACAGAAATCAGATATGAACAGTTTGATGAATTTCTACGAAGATATTCATGTGTTACCTGATATGTGGCAGGGTTTTTTTGTTTTGTTTTACTACTTTTTAACTGATAACTATTAATTATATATATTCATGGAGTACAATGTGATATTTTGCTATATGTATACAGTACATTGTGGAATGATTAAATCAAGCTAATTAATATATCTATCACCTCACATACTCATCATTTTTTGTGGTGAAAACATTTAAAATCTACTCTTTTAGCAATTTTGAAATATACAACACATTATTAACAATAGTAACCAAGCTGTACAATCAACCACTAAAACTTATGCCTCCTGTCTAACTGAAACTTTGTATCCTTTAATCAACATCTCCCCTTTCCTCAACCTCTCACCCCATTGACTGAAACTTTTTATCTGGAAGATTTTTCAGAGTATACAAAATATTGTTCCAAATTTGTTTTATTTTTAAAGATGGGGTCTTGCTATGTTGCCCAGGCTGCAACATAGTGGCTATTCACAGGCACAATCATAGAACACTATATACTTGAACTACTGGGCTCAAGCAATCCTCTTGCCTAAGCCCGAGTAGCTGGAACTACAGGTGCACACCACTGTGCCTGGCTCCAAGTTCTAAGAGTGTAAGATAGAAAAATTTTCATAACACATATCTTTGACAACAAAAATTACACGATAAGAAATGTTACCAAATAGTGATTTTAAAAACACTCTGTGTTTTTATCTCTGCCTTAAAAAAAGCTGTTACTTTCTCACTCATTGTTAAATCACCTTTACTTTGAAGAATAAGAGTGTTCTATTGATTGGTTGGTTGATTTTAATTCTGCGATGTAGCATATTGCATAGCCACTTGTCATACAAAAAGGATCAGCAAATTTGATATATCTTGTCTTTTCACTTTAAAAAGTGCTTCACTCATCTTTTAAGTTCAACAACTTTTTTATAATCTTTGCTATGAGATAACCAGAGAAGCTCTGTGATTTAAATGATTTTATGGTTACTCATCATCTCATTACAGAATACCACAGAGATTCTATACTTTAATGGTCAGACTTTTACAAAAATTAACATTAATAATATCCTGAAGTACTCTTTGCACATCTGACATCAACTTCTGTGTTATTATAGAT